TTTTTTTTTTTTTTTAGGGTGGAAACGGCACGAACGCGCGCGTTGTACACGTCTGAACGCGCGACCGTGCCCTACGATCGCGCGACCGTCCGTTGCGTACGAAAATAAAACTCGGGGTTAGCGTTCCCTCCGCGTTCTAATTTGGCACGGCCCGTCGAGCACCGGGGGCAGTTGGTCCGGTGCGGTGTCAATGACCCCCCCGGGCGGTACACGCGCACGTTCGGATGTACCCCTCCCGGACCCGACGTCAGTCGCCTGAACGCACGCACGAGCGCGCGCACCGCGCCGAGACGCAGGACATAAAACCATATGTTGTTCGGCGGGGCGTCCCTCCAGCCGTCGCCAGCCAGCCGTGGACGGGGTTTTCTGTCGCTCTCTCTGCCGCACTCACTCTCTCCGTCGCGTTCGAAAAGGTGAAACAAATTAAAACGTACGCGCGCGTAAATACCGCTTGCGCGCGCGTCCGCCGGTCGAGTGAAAAACGCGAACGTGCAACGCAAAAATAAATATGCGTACCACCGTACCGCGTCGGTCAGGGTGTCGCAACGTTTTCGGCCCGTTCCGCGTGCGATTCGCACCGCCGTTTTATCGTTACGGCACGCGCGGAAACGACCGGCGAGCGTCGACGGATTGCAATAACGTTTCTGGATAACGAACGTTCGAGACCAGTGGCGTGGCTAGGGTGTGGCGAACTGTGCCTACGCCAGGGGCGCGAATTGCAAAGAGGTGCAAAATCGTGCAAAGGTCGTATTTTTATCCTACAATCAAATCGAAATTTTTCCATTATACTTTTTGAAATACATAGATGTTGTCTATTTGTACACACTACGTGTGAAGTTAATGACGAAATTATGAAAATAGCTCAAGGACATTTAAATAAAAAATTTCATGTGAAGATGAATATTATCGATGAATTTGCCAGTCAAAAAGCGAGAAAAGTTTAAAATTAACATTAATAATAAACTTATAAATATGAATTGTATTCCGGAAAAAAATATAACATCAAATTTTAATTGGTTAAAAACGTCTTTTTCTAAGTTTGCCAAAGGCGCTGGCGAGTTTTCCTACGCCACTGTTTGAAACTATTGCGTCCGTTCAAGTGTTGGATGATAAAATAAAAATGATTATTGACATTTAGCTTTCGATGTCTTAAGTGGCGCGAATCTTCTGTAGTATTTTACTGTTGATAGTTATTGTTGAGCAACGATAGCGGTTGAGCTTGACGATCCCGTTGTCAGCGTTGAAAATGTTAACGGATAATAGATTTATAAAAGAATAATGCCGATTGATCGAATCGTTTTAAGCGAAAAATACGTCCGTTTCCTCCGCGAAACGTCGTAGGAAAAAACTTTTCTCGGAGCACAAATATTATTTCAACTTTGCAGCCGGTACGTGTACACGTTTATAAAAGTATATTTTCGTACGTTTACACAGTGGACGCGGTCGGCCGAATATTGGATACACTGGGTGTTATACAAAGAAACCGCCCGCCGACAAAAGAAACGCGCTAACGGTATGTTTATTGTAAAAGGATTTTTCCCGTTTACGTATATTATACTTTACAGATTTATGGGACCGTATAGTCGAGTTATCACGCCAGCGGGAATTTAAATGTAAAACAATATCTCATCTCGTCGGATAGGTATTATACGGGTATAAGGCGTTCGGCGGCGGATATCTATTACGTCGTGAAAAGTTTTATGATACTCTCTGGCTGAACTTGTTTTCCATTTTAAAAGTTTTGTTTTCAATAGTTTTTTTTGTTTTTCAATTTTACACGGTGATCTCGTGGGTTCATTGGTATTGACAATAACAGTAATAACGATGATGATAATAATAATAATAATAAAAATTATAATAATGATAATAATGGCGCTCCACGAGTATTGTATCAATATTGTATCGATCGGTAAAAAAGAGATCCGAAAACATAGAAAATTCGGCAGACTGAAGCTAACGCGTTTCTTTGAATTTTCTTATACACCGAAAATTCGTTCGACGGCAGCGCGGGATTTTCGACGGGTAAAATTGTTTTCCGTCAGACGGAATTCATCGTCCGTAGTAAAAGCGGTCGATAGTTGTCGAGCGTCTATACAGTGGTGAACATCCGTACACGCGAGAGCTTAAAAGAATACGCTGCATTTGGAAAATTACCATAATGCTGTACATTGTGATGCACGCGCGCGCTCTTAGAGAGAGAACAGTAATTATTACGTCCCGCCGAGAGTAATTATTTCGTCGCGTGCATCACTTATACGAGTAAGTGCCAACACACATGTAGAATAACGTTTTGGCTACACATAAATAATACTATCCGTCGTATGTAATATACGGTCTGGTGTTAGTTGCACTTATTCAGCCGCTGATTATAATCATCTCATTATGTATTCGCGACGCGTGCGCGCGATTTATAGTTTGCTTTCTCTCCGCTCTCTTTCTTTCTCGTTTTCTTTCTCTTTTTCCCGACAGCCGATCACACGTAATATTACGTACGTCCGATCATCACGCGTATCGACGCGTAAAAACTGCGAGCATTAATTCTCGTTGGTCAAGGGGTGTGGGTGTGGGAAAGCTTCGGTCGTTTGACGGAGTACGTTTTCGATTTCATTAAACTACACGCGGTGCGCGAACGGTGAACGCCTATGATACCTGACCGCCACCACGTGTACAGCACACGAACATGCACATTTTTAGTGTTTCGAACGATGCACTTCGAACGACCGTGGTGATGATGGGTAGTCCGTCCACGGAAATAATATGATCTTACCTGGCTGTAAATTTCCGCGAGGTTTTGCTCCCAGTATAGCCAAGTTCACGTTGGCTTTCCGTCCGTCGATGATCGGGTTCGGTTCTTTGCACGCCCTCTCGGCCGCAGGTCTGTCGCCCATGATCACCTGCGTAAACCAAACACATCCGTTATAATACATACTAGTTATTTCTATCATCATCATCATCATCATAGTTATTGCATGCGTCGCCATAATCGTCATCATGCGATGCGCGCCGTAGTTATTAATATTATTTGGCGTTCACGAGGCGAATCCAGTCAAAGACACTTTTCCGGGTGCCCGTTACCCTGTGCGCCGTTTCTAACGCCGAGTGGGCGAGTGCGGTGAAACGGCGGTCGATGACGGGATAGCAGGGTGTACGGCGGATAAAATGTGAAGGGTAAAATTGAATTACGTGTCGAGAGCAAAGGCAAGAGCAAGAATATAATAATAATAAACATATATATATAGAATACAATACAACGGAATCCGAGGGTGGTTGTGTAGCGGCAATGTGCCTGGCGCGCGCGTGAAACTCCCCGCGAGACAAAAGTATACGCGATAAAAAGGCATTTGTGCGTGCACGACAAGAGGGTGGGTCTTTAGTAATACGTATATGTATAAATATATATATATATATATTATTTAGACACGGGCTTTCGATTTTCTTATAGGATATATATATGTGTGTGTGTGTATGTGTGTAGCTCTTTGTCGCGCGAACATACAAAAAATGTGCAGAGTAATATGATATATATATATGTTATATAAATATAATATACAAGGACTACTACCGCACTAGGACTTGCGCGTCGAAATTTCACACCCACTTGATTAAAACTTTTAAAACCATTTTTGTTGATATTTACTGTATATATATATATATATATATATATATATATATATATATATATATATACAGCATATTATCGGACTTGTTCTCAAGAGTCGTTTTTCGATTCGACACGTTCTCGTGTACGTGCTATAAGATTTTTTGGCTGTCGTCGGAGCCGGAACTAACATTAGCTGCAATATAGCCGGCGGGAACGTGCGAAAAAGGAAGTAATGGAAATAAATGTTGTTGTGCGAGGTATTTCTGACTGGGCGGCCGCGCAATTATTTCGTGCACCGGAAAAACGATTTGTCCGCACACACTACCTGTAAAGAATTTGTATCATTTTGTGATGGAAAAAAAATAATAAAAGAAAAAAGAAACATGTAAGGACTCATATAACGTTCACGCGTTCTGGCATGTGTGTGACAACTGTCATAACGATAATTGCCTTTAATCGAATTCACAGAGTTTATGAATACCACCTGGATTGGTGCCTTGCACCGTTAATTATTTCGCACGTTAAAATATTTACGCCAACAAAGTTGTTACGCGGCGCGTTATTTCGCTCGGCCGGAAAAGTTTAAATAGAAAAATTAATTAAAAAAAAACAACAAGGAACAGGTCGTGGACTTTCGGATCGGGCTGCAGATTTCGACCGAATTCGATTGTGCTTAAAAAGGATTTCAAAAAATTGAAAACATAATATCATAATAGTCCCCCCCCCTCCATTGGATTCGTTATTGTTTTAACGAAATTATTTAAATACTCGTGAGCAGTAATGGGTCTTGGTTTTTTTTTACTTTTCATATTTTTATTTGATTTTCATCACGAGAACAAATAATATTATCTTTTGTCTTGCACCGAGAGTGTTTTTAGTTTCAACACTTGGTTGCCGCGGCGGGGAAAATGAAAAGCGTAAACGTTTTCAACTCTCCTTTCATACACGCTCGTCACTCGCGTTTAGTTTATTTATGTACATATAAATATACTTTTCCCCCTTTGGCGCACGGCTATTCCGTTTGTTTGTTTGAAACTTTTTTTTACGTGCGCAAGTGGTCTGGAACGTTTCTGCGGAAACGTATACACGCGTAGTGTACGCGCGTTCGCGGCCACGACTCTCGCGGACGGACAGCGGGACAACTCTACAGCTGCAACTCTACAACTGCAGACCGAACACGCAAACGCAATATTATATTAACTCGTTTCCGTCACGATGTTAATAAGCCGGTACGCAACAATAACAATAGCAAATATATACCAGGCGGCGGCCGGGGGGCGAAATATTAATATACCCGGTATGCTTTTGGAAGTGCTCGAGTTTTCAGTTATTAGTTCGCTCGAGTGCGTACCAGGTATTTGTGTGTGCGCGTCGAGAGGGGAAAAAAAGCACCGTCGCCGTGGCGGTGAGCGCGACAGAAGAAGACTGAGAAAACGAAGAAAAACTTTCGGTTTATTCGAGCGGCGCGACACCCTATTATTGTCCGGCCGTACCGTAGGTGTATAAATAGTCGCCGCGGACGTGATTGGATTTCGCAAAGTGACCCGACGCGCACGGGAACCGGAACGTCTCGAGAAGCGATCACACCGTAACCTCGTCGGATCAGAGCAGCGTTTTTTTTATCGTCATACGACTTTAAGACGCGCGCGGTAACGGTTTTCCGATAACACCGAGTGGGTACCGTCGACACTGTGTTCGGTGTGCGAGCGCACGTTCCTCACCGTATATTATGCGCGCATTATACACGCGCGTTGTGTTTGGCGACGTTCGAAAACGCTCCCGCGCGACCTACTGCGGAGACATAATCCGACAGACGATTATCGCGTCAGTTATGCAACCGCATGACCGTACGACGGCAGCGTAACGTGAACGTGCGCCCGACGGATCGTCCGAGGGTTTCGTTTGACGTCATGGGCGAGTGTGCACGCATAAAACGTAACGTGTTCCGCGACGGCTCGACAATGACCGTGCGATCGCTCGGCACGTCGGTGTTGCTTCTCGACCTTTCGGACTTTCGCACGCGCGCGCGTTGTCGAAACGGATGTCGCGCGAACGATTGACGGCCGATTGCAACACACACCGGCGAGGAAAGGCGTATTAATTCGCCTTGATCTCGTAACTTTTTCGAACAACGAGCAAGGAAACCGGACCGGACCGAGCGAGAACGTTTTTCTCGACGGTTTTGAATTTTTTTTTTTATTATTCACCGAATCTACCGCGCAACAAACTTTACCGTCCACCGTGTCGTCATCCCAGGCTTTTGCCTCTAACCTCTTCGGTCGCATACGCCGACACAAAACACACACACACACAAACCCGCACGCACGCACACACGCACGCATGCACACTCAGAACATCTGTCGAACAAACACAAACACAGACGTACGCCGCTGTGGCACTAGCTAGCCGCCGAGCGCGGAAAAAATTACAAAGCCTAACATAATAACGTGGCAACCGATATTACGATTCTACACGCGCCGTGGCACTCTTGCCGCGTTATACTCACAAATCCGTAGCCCCGGCTCTTGCCGGACTGCCGGTCCGTAATAACCACGGCCTCCTCGATGTCGCCGTACACGGCGAAGTGGTCCCTGAGCGACTTGTCGGTGGTGTGATACGGCAGACCGCCGACGAATAGTTTGGTCCACGTGGTGTCCTTCTGCTGGCCGCCACCGCCGCCGCCGCCGCCGGTGCCGGGCACCGCGGTCAGGCTGGCCAGGCTGCCGACCAGACCCTCGGCCGTGCCCAACAGACTGGTGTCCGGATTGGTCATAGCACCGGACATCAACATGACGCTTGTGTGTTATATATGAGATACGAGCAAAAGCAATCAAACGTGAACGGTCGGAACGTGAACGATTATGTTATGCGAGATAAAACGAATCGGATAATAATACTATTATTATCGGCGAGGAAGCAATCCGGACGTAACAGATTTATATATATATATATATATATATTATAAAATAAAAATTAATAAAAACAAAAACTAAAAGAAAAAAAAAACAAAAGAAAAACAATGAACAAACTAGCACCCAAACATTTTCGCGAACGCGCGACGTGTGTGTTGGTGTGTGTGTGTGTGTGTGTGTGTATGAGAGTGAGAGATAAACGGTAGTGGTGTGCGTGCTCGGGTGTTATTGTTTTTCTCGACTTTTGCAGGAGCGCGCAACTGCTACACGGTGCGTACAGAAGGGATCCCGGTAACGTCACTGACTGGCGGGTCCGCGTCCAACTCCACTCTGGCGGGGCCGTCTAAATTTAGTCCGCGTACGAGGCCTCGTTCGGTTCCCCTCGGCGTGTGCAGCTGTTCCGGCGGCGGCGTTGCAAGCGGTGGCGGCGGCGGCGGTGGCTCCTCCTCGTCGCCGTCGTCACCGCTGCCGCCGACCGCCGCCCACCCCCGGCCACGACTACCTCGCCCCGCCGCCGCCGACGCCGCCGGTGTCGTTGTGCCGTGCATCGCGTGCGCGTGTAGTACGCGTAGTATTCGCGGCCGCCGCCACCGGGAACGCTGGCCGTGGTCGTGTGGACGAGGCGCAAACAGTGGGGCCCCCGCGGGAGCGGGGCCGAGTGCGCGTGTCTGCTAATGCGTTTCGCGAGCGCGCGCGCGCGCGCCCGCGCACACGCTCGCCCGCGTAGACCTTACCCCCTCGACGATCACGGCGATGGCCACGACCGCGACGACGACGACCACGTAATATATACGTACGTATTCGACGCGCACAAAGGTCTGCCGTCGCCGCCGGTGATCGGTGTTTTAGATATTAATGTACCCCTTTCGGCCGTCGGTCATCGATGTGTGTACGCGCGCACACCCTCCCCTAACGATAACGATTATAGTAATAATAAATATAATATCGTTTGATCGGCACGCCGATATGCATCGATGAATAAATAATTTGATTTCGTATTTACGTGCCGTATTATGGTGCCGCCTTCCCCCCGCCACTATATCCGATCGCCTGGTTCCCCTCGGTTCGTTCAACGCGGTATCATTTTAACCAACACACATCGCGCGGGAGTGTTCACACTGCTCGTCGAGTGTTGTAGTACTAGGGTTGCCGAAAACCGCAGACAACCGGAACGGCCTAAGGTTTTTGACTTGGTGTCTAGTAGAGATCAGCACGGGCCGGGCTAGCCCGACCCGGCCCGTCCCACACCGGGCTTGGTCCGAGCAGGGCCATAATTTAAATATTACGGGTTGGTTATAAGTGGGATCGTTATATTATTCATTGGGCCGGGTCGGTCAAACCAAAATTAATTAATTTAATTTGTAGCATTATGTATTCTATATCTATAAATAATTTTATATTTAAATTTTAATAAAACTTAACATATTTTTTTTTTTTATAATACATTTATTGTCTTTATGAAATGTTTTTGTTTGCTAAGTTAATACTGAAAGGAAATACAGTTGATGTATATTTTTATTTACAAACGGGCATGGTTGGGTTGGAATTTGAAAAAAAAATTACGAACGGGTTTGGTCGGTATAGACTTAAAAAAAATAAAATATGGACCGGGCCTGGACGACGACAATTTAAAAGTTAAGTTTTGGGCCGAATCGGTCCAAAAAAAAACAGCCCGTGCTGATCTCTAGTGTCTAGTCCATCTCGATATCCTGAAAACATTATCTAGACCTCCTCTATAGGTATCGATATGAGGATGGAATCTAAAACTCTTTAATCGACTGCGATCGAAGGTTAATAATTGTATTCGTAACCCAAACGACATAATTAATAAAGCAACGTTGTCAAATCTGCAGTTTCGATCGATTCGATAGGAACAAACTTTTAGGATAGTTTACCTGTTCTATTATTTTACGTACGAGCGTAATAACGATAAATCAATAAATTATTAATAATATATGGACCTCTCTGCTATGTGATAACAATAAAAGTATTCGTTTTTGGATTTTAAACAATCGTTGCATCCAAACGGCTCCAAAAAAAAAATTATTTCATTTTCCAGACTAGTTATCTTGTAGTTTCATCGATTCATCAAAGTATTATAATTATAGGTATGCAATAACGTCTTAAGATTTATACACATGCGCTGATCTAGATCTATTATTTCGAAATGACAAAAAAATAATACACAATTAAAAAATTCTAAAAGTAAATTATTGATTAAAATTAGAACTTTATTAATTATTGTTAAATTTTTGAAATTAAATGACAAAGTTTAATCTTACAATTGTTGTGTATAAATTAAAATTATTTGTTGTACATATTTATTTATAAATGAAAACGGAGAACCAATCATGATTTTTTTTTTTTTGAGTGGTTGAATATAAATCTTTGTCCGCGCCTGCTAGATAATATGTTAATATAATATAATATTACGAAATTATCGGTGGCAAACCATTGTCCGTCATCTTTATGTACCGCATGAACGGCGCACACATCCTGTCAACAAAACATTTTTCGCGGATTTTCCGATGGACTTTCATACAGCCATATGGGCCGTTTGTCCGGATTATTATTACAGTATTGATGGACCGTGTATCAGCTGACCGACCGGCAATGGCACCGATATAACAATAATTATTATATCATTTCCCGAACAACGGAGAGCGAATGAGTGAGCGAGCGAGTAAGCCGGTTTTGTGGTGTAAACGAAGGGTGAGTTCGCGAAACAATTGGTTTTTCATATAATACATACATTTGTCTACAGCGATTTGATTAATACATTTTAACCGACAGTACGTGCATATGTGTACAAGTATATGAATGCCGATTTTAGTTTCCATATGTATTTGTATACCAACAACCTATTTAAATGCGTTTCGTTCAATCATCGTCAATTTCGTTCGAATATTAACGGCTTGAACGGTTATTTTCTTTCCGGCGTTGCGGTGTTTTCCGCTTTAAATTGTGTATCGATAAATTTTCGTTTATTCTTCTCGGCATACACTCGTATCATATTAATATATAGACAATATATACGTAATAATATTCTTCTCGTTGTAAATACTTTATAAAAATGCTTTTTAAACGCTGTTGTATATTATCTCTGGTACTATTAAATGTGAAGTGAATACTTCAGAACTCTTACCACCGGGTCCAACGAATTCTATAATAATCGAATTCATTCATTTTGGTCACCTTAAAGGGAGACGATTTCTAAGTGGCTACGATACCTTCAGCCCAACGTTTATATAGTTGATTATTCGGATCATCTGTAACAGCACTTCATGGCAAAATCATGCGCAGAATTCAAATAGTATTATACTGTTTTCAGGTTGTACAAATAAATCATCATTAAACCAATACCGATAATTAATTATTGGTACAACACTATCGAACTAAATGCTTAGAGTTTCAATATTTTTGTTATGGAAATAATGTAACTCAGTCGTTTAAAATATTGAACACTAAGTTAGCAATCAATATAAATAATCGAACGTATCTTGACTGACCGATCAACATACAGCCAAAAATTCCCCGTACAGATTCATTTGAAATATAAAGGAAATGTATTTAATACTATTTATAGTCAGATAAAGAAAGGATTTTTCAAATTTTTTCGCATTCATAAGGGTTGAGACGGCATCAAAAGTACTTAGATTAGATAGAGTCATAATATTAAATTCAACTTGTATATGATTATTTAAGCTATATTATTATTGTTGCTACTGTGATATATTTCTTTATGTAGTATTATATATCTCAGCTAAAATACTCTCATAAGAAAATATATAAAGGTAGTTCATTATTTTATGTTTATATGTATCACGAAATTAAGTAAATTAATTATATAAAGCACTATGAATTTTCTGTTTTGATAAGAGAATTGCATTATAAAAGGCTATGTTTACGAAGTTTTACAACCCTACAATTTCATTGTCACGTTAAATTATTATTAGTTTTAATTGCTAACTTTAAATTACCTACAATATAATTAAAAAATTTAGCGAATTTATTAGATACATTTTATAACGATATTTAATACTACCATAATACTAAACTTACAATAATAATAATTATTAACAACATTTTAAAATTAAAGTTTTATTTAATATTTTATTTTACACGTTCATGGTTTTTTAATTGGTATTATTATGGTTGATATTGTTTTCATGAGAATTATCATACATTAAATCAAGTTAATGTAGATTATCATGTTTGTTTAGAGGAATACGTTTAAATCTATAAACAATTTAATTAAAATATATCGCCTGAGAGTGAGTATGATTGGAACTATGTGATATAATTGTATCAATTGATTACCTGTTAATATGAAAATCAAATTTTTTATTAATAATGGTTATTATAAAATCTTAAAAATTAATTTTATTATTTTCCTGTTTTTCGAAAGTGAATTTTAAACAATTTATGATATTTTCAGTTGGTAATTTAAATTGATATTATTAGAAATATTTAATAATTTTTAATAAATAATTTAATATAAATATGATTTAATAAATAAATAAATAAAATCATATCTTGTTTTTGAAAATATAAATTTTGTTCCGGCAATAACGTATTACTATGGTATGTAAATGGAAAGAAGAGATCTACTAAAAATCGGATTGTTGGCCAAATTTTAGATTTATAGATGTTATTATCATTACGCATAATTATATTACGCCACTGGGATGTTGATTCTGTAGTATATTTATATACATTTTATGGATATGAGTAAACATTTGGAAACACAAAGAGGACAAAAAAGATTCGCATACCCATATATTGTACACATTCCACAAAATAATTAAATTATACACTCGATTCGCTAAGAAAGTTTTCTGAAAATATTACTTCGTTTTCTCGATTTGATCTTGATTTAACACACTAATTGTTTTCGCTTCTTCTTAAAAACAATTTATTACCAGCCTGTAGCTATTATTCTCGTTAATATGCAGTATCTTAATTGATATGGGCATAATGAAAACGAAACGATACGTTATTTTCGATATTATATGGCCTAATCAATAATTGTTATAGTATCTAAATGCATACGTATTATTAATTATTCTTCTCTACGCATGGTTGTAAATATAAATATATTTTTATTATTAATTTAATGATTACAATTATATTATACGGACTTACAGATATTTGCCTTATCGATAACTAATTTTTTTAATAAATAACATGATAACTTTAACTGTGTACTTCTGTATAAACAACTAAATAAAAAAAACATATCATTATAAATTTTTTGTGAAAACCTATATTTTTTCTAACCGATTTAGATTTGTATAATCATTTTTATTCTACGTTTTCGTCTAATTTTTATATATTGTGTATGTTTTTCTGTGTGGCTTTTATGGTTATACGTGAATTTTACTCGATATAC